GGGCTAAGGTCTCCATTAATCCCTTCAGGATGATTCAACCCAAGTGTAACAGTTCGGGTGTTTTAGCCAGCTGGATGGCAAAAGGGGGTAGTTTGGAGGCTACTCGACCCATGAAAATGAGTAGAGTCGAGTGGTAATTGGTGGGTATAGGTTTGTCCACTCGACCTATGAGGATGAGTTAAGTTGAGTCGTGTGGAGTGGAGTTTGGTGATAAGGTGTGTCACTCACATTCACATGGATGGGAGGATTGAGGGTCTATAGTCGAGGCTTTGGGGTCTAGGGTCGTCAGGGGCTACATGGAGTTCATTAGGACGCAAAAACAATTCCTTGGCAATTGGTTATATGGGAAATCAAGGGAGTTGCATTGAGTTACTTGTTCTTATAGAGTTTGGTTCTCAGCCCGGATGTTAGCGTTTTCGGCGTCTAGTACTATAACCTTGTTTGAGTGTTGCTGCATTAAAGCAGTGAGAGCCTCGACCTTAGCTGCGAGGTCTATGGGAACACTGTCCGTAATTTCAGCCATGACGTGATTCTTTATAGAGTAGATTGCCGAAGGAAGGTTGCTTGTCAGAGGCCCATGATCGGTGTCAAATTGTAGATGGTAAAAATATACGGTTACGAAGAAGGACTGATCATGTGAGGTTGAGGCTACTGACAATCTGTTGAACTTACACACACAAAAAAAGCGTGAAACATACATAAAACACCGGTGTGGTGTCTGCCATAGGCACTCTGACGCTCAAGTTAGCAAGGCTGAAATATGTTATTTAGTGAGGGTTAAGGGAAGGAAAGTTTACTAGAAGTTTAGTTGGAGACTATAACTACGGCGAAGGTGTATAATTCTCAGGAGTAAGAACTTAAGAACTAGCAGGTGGTAGTGAATATTGGATGCCTAATGTAAGGTCAGACCTCTGTTTATATAGTGGTCATAGGATCTTTGTATCCTATTAGGACTCTGAGTCCATAATGGTAGAAGTTTGATGAAGTAGGGAAGACTCTGATTCCCTTGCCTTTGGAGTATTAAAAGTCTTAATTCACATAAGATACCGGATCTTGGATGAATTAGGATAAAGGCCAAAATTGGATATAAATGTACTAGGGTTTGAGAAGGACTCTTGGACCCTTATTGGATATCATGGGCCAATGGGTCTAGGCCTGGATGGGCTACTGTTGAAGCCTAATCTGAGTGGCCCAATCTGGATAGGAGCTAGAATGGTGTCATGGGATTGGCCTATGACATGAATCTTGATGTAGGTCTAATTGGAATTGGATCATAACCTTAGGCCACGTAGTAGACGTTTTGTGCTTCAGCTTGATAAGGCCCAAGACTATTTTTGGCTCATACATTCGCATAATACTAAGCATACAAAATTTTATAATAAAATCATTTATTGATTAGACAATTTTACTTTGTTCTTCCAATAATACAATAAAGAAAACTCCATTTTAGAATTTTTATTTGAAGCTGAAATTAACTTGACATAATAAAATTATCTTCACATTATAAAACACAAAGTTTAGATCACATAATTATATAATCTAATGAATGAGTTATCAAATTTTGCTATGCTAATTAATAAGTTAAATAACTTAATTTGTCGGGTAGCTTAATTACAAAAAATAAGTCGAATCATATAACCTATCAATTTAATTTAGTAAATATATATATTATTTCACGTCTACGTCAATGCTATTTTTTGGATGACCTCATATGTCTATCAAAATTACTTCTTAATAACGACTTAACTTAGGAATAAGAAATAAACACATTTTTACAAAGACAAAAAACTATTTTAGTCATTGAATAATTGATCATGATAGTTAACTATACAAATTTAGGTTTGAATGAGACCATTCAAACATATTAGAGTATATTAATTTTGAATCAAGTAAGAAAAAGACAAATGACAATACAATAAACAGTTTGATTTTGGGGTGGTATATCTACAAAAATAAATAATATTATTTTTATTTAAGTCTCTTTATTATAACTTTATTTAATCATTTAATTGCATCTTTAGTCTTCTCAATAAAACCCCTCCTAAATCTAATATATTTTGTTGAGATTTTAATCTTTTTAACTAATTATACATTTTAAAACTCTATGCCTAAAATTTGTAATTATAACAAATTAGAGAAAGACAAATTGGTGAAATTATTTAATACATCTAATTATTTTTTGATCTAATGGGTTTTAATGAATATATATATATATTTTTTTAATACTATCACATTTATCTTCAAAATTTTAAGCTAAAATTTCTATCTCTAAATTTTAACTTGAACTCTAGACTTAAGTGTTGTAGGTGAGTAAATAGTATTTAGGGTTAGGAGTACCAAACCTTGAAATAATTAAATTCTGTTCGTGTTTCTTATATGGTAGACAATACTTTTGATTGCATTTAAATGCTATAATGAGACTATAATCTTAATTATATTAAATAGGGATAGATCATAGATGATATACCTGATTTTCTATTCTATAGTACACAGTAGCAACTTAAATAAAAATAATAGAGCCAATAAAATTTTCTTTATTGATTAATAGAATTTCATATTTAACTCTTTTCCTATATAGAATATATTATAAAATACTTACAATAACCCATAAATTCTATATCAAACAGGCCTTTAGATTCTAATTAAATAAAATTATTATTATTCTTTTAGTCTCTTGATTAAAGCTTTAACTATTTAATCATTCAATATTTTTATGTTTAGTCTTTCCAATAACTAAGACCTCCCCTAATATTAACATTTAATTTAATTATATTTAGTTGAATGTTTATTCTTTTTAATCTAATTATACTTTTCAGCGTAAATTTGATGGGAAAAAAAAAAATTAATTTTATACACAATTCGAATAATGTTATGCATACAATGAAAAATGAATAGCATAAATCAACGTGATGCAATTTTCTTCAGCATAATACTAAATATACAAAATTTATAATAAAATCATTTATTGATTAGACAATTTTACTTTGTTCTTCCACTAATACAATAAAGAAAACACCATTCTAGAATTTTTATTTGAAGCTGAAATTAACTTGACATAATAAAATTATCTTCACATTATAAAACACAAAGTTTAGATAACATAATTATATAATCTAATGAATGAGATATCAAATTTTGCTATGCTAATTAATAAGTTAAATAACTTAATTTGTCAGGTAGCTTAATTACAAAAAATAGGTCGAATCATATAACCTATCAATTTAATTTAGTTAATATATATATATATATATTTTTTTTTCACGTCTACGTCAATGCTATTTTTGGATAACCTCATATGTCTATCGAAATTACTTCTTAATAACGACTTAACTTAGAAATAAGAAATAAACACGTTTTTACAAAGACAAAAAACTCTTTTAATCATTAAATAACGGATCATGATAGTTAATTATACAAATTTAGGTTTGAATGAGACCATTCAAACATATTAGAGTATATTAATTTTGAATCAAGTAAGAAAAAGAAAAATGATAATACAATAAACAATTTGATTTTGGGATGGTATATCTATAAAAATAAATAATATTATTTTATTTAAGTCTCTTTATTTAATCATTTAATTGCATCTTTAGTCTTCTCAATAAAACCCCTCCTAAAATTGACATTATTAATTATATTTAGTTGAGGTTTTATTCTTTTTAACTAATTATACATTTTAAAACTCTAAGCCTAAATTTTGTAATTATAACAAATTAGAGAAAGACAAATTGGTGAAATTATTTAAGACATCTATATTTAAACTATGAACTCTATTTTATTTGAAGTAGTGACACTAATGTACTAATTAATTATTCTACAAACTCTTTTATATAAATTAACGACTCCCATGTTGAATTGAAGATCGAAGATTTACCTTTAAACACTAAAATCTCCATCTTCGGTTCTACTTGAATTAGATAGAAACTAGAAAAAACAATAAGATATCGACTTGTTGTATAAGAATATTAACATCGTGCTTTTGCATTCTTGCATTATGTGAGTAACTAAACTTATTAGATGAGTCCAAATTTGGAAAAAAAAAAACTATTTTAGTCATTAGATAAATCATTACGTAACATTGATTAATTTTGGAGGGTGGCATTGGTGTTGTGTGTGTGGGAAACAATCTTCCTGCTGTTTGATAAATCAAACTTACTAGAACTTTTATAATGTTGAATTTTATTTTGGTCTGTTATTTCTGTAAAAACAATTATATTCATCTATTTGCTTAGTAAATTAATTTTACTATAATTAAAAAAAACAACTATTATTTTTATAAAATATAATATTTACTATTGTCTATGTTAACTTTGGTTTTCAACTATTATATCTCAAATCATGATGTAACCACTCTTGAACTTTAAATTATAGATCACATAATCATATAATCCATATATATCAATAAAAAAAACACCTCAATTTTTTTTATTTTTAAAATTGCGACAGCCTCAAAAAATACTTCAGCCAAAACTTTGAAAAAAAAAAATCCTCTGAAAAGTATATGTAACTACTTTTAGGAAGTAAAATAACTAATGGTCCTCTACAAATTAAGTAAAAATTTCAGAACACCCCTTATTTTTTTGGGCCAAAAGCCCAGATAAGCTCAGCCGGAGCTTGGGCTTTGGCCCGGTAAGCCTGAATGGGCTCAGGTTTTTACATCCCTAATCATATGAAAAAGACAGTTGATACTATAAAGTCTCCCATAAAAATTGATTTGATTAGAATCGCCGGAACCGGCAGCCAATTTTTGCCCCAAGAAGCGATTAAATTTGTCAATGCTGCCATTAACGGGCAACGGCTATTCAACGACTGTGAACTTTCCATTTTCTTTATAATTTTGTGAAGAACAATTTACTTAAATTGATTGATTTCATTTGATTAGTTAATTTTAAGTATTACATATGGGTACTAATGTCTCTCCCACATTAAAAATCAACTTAAGAATAATCTGACTATCAAAAGCTACTTAAATAGCTTTTGAAAATTCTATATAAAACTGATTATTCTAAAATCAAACTTAAGTTATAATCTCTTAATAAAGTACAACCTTTTCACACTTGTGTATACTCCCACAAGTTCATATGTAACACGTAAAAAGTTTAGCAAACTCAAAAAATTAAATTATAGAAGGGGAAGATGAAATTGCAATACCTCCGCCACAGAGTAGCAGACTACCAGAGTCTAACCTGTTTTTCAACAAAACCCGATCGAACAACAAGCTTTGCGATGAGGCCTGCAAATTGTACTCATCCAGATCATGCTGTTTTGATGTTACAATTTGTGGGTCACTATTTATTTTCTCTAAATCCTTCTCAAAATTCCTGACATACTTCATTATGTTGGGTTGGCAATCTAAGGTGTCACTTGGACTGAGACCAAAGGAAAACTTCCGACCCTCTAATTTATCAGTGCTGATTACACTGTCTTGATCACAAATGCGCTCTTTACTACTGCTACTAGCCGTCAGTTCCATAGCATCTCGGATACGCGTGAACCATCCTTCCTGTAAGTGTGACATTATCTGAAATTAGAAAACTACAATCCCGTTAATAATATGAGTAGGTATTGTTTTTTAGTTAAATTTCAGTACTTCAGCTTCTCACATCTCTCTGTGAACAGGAAAAGCTAAACGCGGAATAAACCACTAGTTGCATGATAGAGGAAACAAATCTCATTTCTATGGAATGATTAATAAAAAAAGAAAAGAGAAAGAACACAGGGAATGCATCTTTCCTATAAAGCAAATCAAACAAATCTATGCATAAAGAGTAGGATATAACGCTATGAGAAGGAAGAACTTTTTTCTTAAAGTTGCTCTGCTGTAACTCATTTTCCTAATGTTCAACAATTTGGTGCTTATGTTGAATGAATTAGGTAGCACTTAAAAACTAGGAAACAGGTAAAATAAACAGGATGTACTTTGTTACTTGGCTTCAACGACTCAAAATTCACCATTCAGAGACTAACCTTGTGGAAAGAGGATACAGTAAGTACCCTAAATATATATGTAAATACATGCTGCTTACACAGTAAATAAAGGCAAGCTCACAAGTAGTATTTAAGGGATGCCTCTTTCATTAATGTATACTCTATGAAATACCACGGACTTGTATATTTAATTTGCCTTAAAGGAGAGAAGCAGTGTGAATAGTAAAGGTCCTAAAGGATCCGACAGTCACTAAAATTGGATAAATTTTTGAGTAATTTGTTTCATTAATATGCACACTAAAATAGTTTGGAAAAAGAAAAGAACCAGAATAATAAATTAAATGCAGACATATGAGGCATGAACCTGTTTATCACTAAGGCAACTGTTGGGGCAGTAATTTGTGGACACGCTTGAATTTTCATGGGGTAAATAAGTATTATCACCAACCGTGGCAGCTACTCCCACTGAGTTAAAAGGTGGATCCTCTTGCGATGAGAAGTCAGAGCTATCGAACGTTGATAAGGATACACACTCATCGAAATAAGCCATGGCTTCGTCAGTTAGACGTCTTGACATCCTTCTTCTCTCAATGCTAGACTGCCATAGTATTCAGTAAAACTAAATTTGAGAAAAAACAAACAAGAAGTCAAAAAAAAATATATCAAGATACAACCTATGTAGAAAATTCCGAAGGTCTGTGGTGCAAATAATGCAATTGCATGAACTGCCCTCTCTGAAAAAACAAAAACTTGGATATTCCACACACATTATTAAATACATTGAACAAAATTGGCTGGCAGGACGGACGCAACAAATTGGATAAGAAACTATGATCCTGTGTGCTTCTGTGATTTCTTTAAGATGAATGAAAGCTGATCCTAAACATACATGAGCTCCCAACACCAAATTGTTCGTTCCTATATAAAGAAGTTTCAAATGCTTAACTTATATAATTGTGTAACCAGAGTAAGAAATGCATAAAATAATTTGGCTGAAGTGCCAAAAAGGCCTACTTTTCTTCCTGGACGGGATTTCTGCCCAGTAGGGGCCTTGGGATCCGGAAGTACTTCCTTCAGGATTCTACTCAGCTCTACCCCACGATGTTCCTCAACAGCCAGGTCTGCTCGAAGTTTTGTAGCCCGTTCCTGGGACTGCACATTAAAGATAGTATCTGCCATAAAAGGTCCAACAGAGAAGAGAAACCAAAAACAAGACAAACTAAAAAGTCAAAATTACGCAGTGTTTTCTTCTTTTTTTAATCTTAAATATTTATGGGGCTTAATCTATGTAGATCTGCGATTTTTTTTTTGTTTTATTTAATCATGTCTCAACATAAGTGTTCCTATATATAGTTTTACATATTTTTCCCTTGTTTTCTTTTCCTATAGAAAAGTTCAATCCCTTAAACTTGCTATCGAGCATCTTATGCTATGACGACAAACGTGACAAACATGGTAATTCCTGCAATAAACTTGCTATTGAGTATTCAGTGTAGATGAAACCTACAAAAACAGATGACATATGTGGTTGAAGATGAGGTGGCAAATGGCACATACAAGGGATTGATGGAATTGGCAGTAACTATGGAAGTCGACTGTGGTCAGCTTTGGCAATAATTTCTTCTGAAATTGCTGCGGATGAGCTAATGATAGTGAAGCTATCGTGGTTATCAGTAATGGCGTTGCCAAATTTGGAAAGATGAAAATATAAACTAAATGGTGGCCTCAATTATGAATGACGGTGAGGGAGGACTGAAGAGTCAAGTAAAATGACAATGAATAAACAAAATAAAATCTAAAAAATGTTAAAAGTGAAAATTTTAAAAGTACTTTTACCCATATAAAAAGTGGATTAGCTAAAGCTAAGAATTAAACAGTCCACCCTGTCAATTCATCATTTTCATACATAAATAAATAACTATATATGCAAATGCAAATATGTGCTCACCTTATCACTGGAGCAATATCTTAAATGTTAGCATCACAACATAAAAAGTTTCAAATGGCTCAGTTTACAATGAGGTTACCTGCTCTAGCTTTTTAGCATATTCTCTTCTTATGTCCAGAACCAATTCTACTGCACCTGGGCTCACCAAATCAGGAGGTATATCAGTTACACTAGTCATTGCAATACCAGAGGTATTATTTCTCTTCATAGCCTGAATTCATACAAAGAGAGGTCAAGTTATGAATTAACATAAAGCACAACAAGTCTAAAAACAAGAGACTGTAACGACCGGAACAAATAAATGTGACTAGTGCACTTATGTTTGAGGGAGAAAAACATGTAAACTTTCCATAACTGACAAAAAACATTCAAGTGACAGAAAAAGCTTAATACCATTTCAAAAAGATGAGATCATTCCTAAAACATATCCACAAAGGAGCCGTATAATTCATCTTGAAATATTAGCCTTTATATATTTTTCATAAGTCACTTTATTACAAATTTTCAGATATAAAAATTGAGCATATTCATATAAATCTTCTAAAAACCATAGGCAGAAGACAGCAAAACATACACTGACAATATTAAATCAACTTCCCAAGTCACTCTCCCCAAATATCAGATCAGATATACAAGGTTTTATTTTACCTTCTTCTTGCCAAAGTAGACCTTATGACTGAACTTTACAATAGATACCGAGAAAATATGAAGGATTTCTTCATTGAATATTTCCTAGCTTAATTTACACAACATTAAAGAATAATTCTCTAATATGTAACATGGATATACCAGCTAACAGATCACTTGTACATGCTATTTAAACAAGAAGAAAAATAACTAAAAGTAGGATGGCCAGGAAGCTATATGAACTTACAGTTTCAAGGTCATTTTGAATGTCAGCAATGGCACGCCTCACTTCAGATCGAACAGTTTCATATATACCATTAGAAGAAGTATCAACCCCCAAATTATCCCCTTGAAATGGCTGCAAGAGGAAAGGAAAACTGAGCTATATTCCAAAAAATGCTTTATCATAAAACCATGTAAGAATAAGTTACATTAAAAATTAGCAATCGAACAAAGTAACAACCTGAAAAAGATGTTTCTATTCTACTGTGAGGGGTATTAATACTGCTAGACACTTAGAAGAATAAAGAACATTTTTACAAGGATAAGGCAATCCTAATATGATGGTCCAAATCTTCCTGCACCAATCTTAGGAACTAAATCAGGAGCTTAAAGTTTCCATAATTAACACCCACATCTCACCTTCATCTGTTCACAAACTGCTTTAATAGTTTTCTCCTCGGCTTCTGAAAAAGAACTTGTCGAAACTCTATCTTCCCAATTTGGAGTTCTCATGGAAGACTACAAAAGAAACACAAAATCATTAATTAACAAAACAGACTAATACATTTTAACACAACGTCACAAAAGGGCTCTTCTATAATAATACCAAGTTTCCAGTAGAACGATCTGAAAATTCAAACGCCAAACGCTGACCCGGCGTAGTCCTCAAGCTTTTTGTTTGATCCAACGTAGCAGAACTACTTTTAACCAGTTCACTCTTTCTCCTATCACTTCTTTTCACAGATACACTATCTTCTTGCTCAACTTCACTCTGTCGAAAACCCAATTGAGCACTCAATCAAACAAACAGACCCAATTGAACATTCAATCAAACAAACAGACCCAATTGAACATTCAATCAAACAAACAAACCCAGTTGAACATTTAATCAATCAAACAAACCCACTTGAACACTCAATTACACAAAACTCATCTCAAAATTGAATCAAAACAGACAAACCCAGTTTAGCATTCAATCAAACAAAAAAATTCTCATCATAGTTTCCTTAATGACAAACTCGAACCTCAGAATTCACAGTTGGCCCTCTTGAAACAGGAGGCCGGGACACAGACCGAAAGCGCCGCCCAGTGTCCACCCTCGACAAGCTCCTGCCGATCCCGGAACCGGGTTTTCCACCGTCAGCATTTCTAGCCACGGAGCGGCCCCTCCTGGTATCTTCAGCACTTAAAGCTTTGGACTTTTTGGGTGAAATTTCACCAAGTTTGGAACTTTTGATGTCTTCAGGTGGTGAATTACCAGAACAAAAGAGAGGATTGTCTCTCTTAATCAAAAATTCATTTGAAGAAGAAGATGCAGAAACATCCAACTGGGTTCTTGAGAAAGCACTCACACTTCTTGATCTTCTTGGAGGGGCTTTCTTTGTTGAATCTTTCTTGGCGGTTTCTTTATCAGATGTTGTTGTTGTTGCTGCTTTGGTTGAAGAACTGAGCAAATTTTGTCTTTTTGAGGAGGATTTGAAGGCTGCAACCGCCATTTTTGATGGATTTTGAATGAGAAAAAGGGAGTGATTTTAGTTACATGGTGATGGAGGTGAAAACGAACGAGAAAGGGAAGGAGTGTAAGACAAAAAGATGGTGGTGGGGTGGCAGAAAGTGACTGATACAGTAAGGATTTGATTTGTCCACCATTGTTTTCACCAAAGAAGATTTGTCATATGCACAAAATTTGTTCTAAAGTGAAGGAAAATAAAATAAAATAAAAAATTATTAATTAAGACCTTTAATAAATAAAAAATAAAAAAGGAGATTAATAAATTTAATTAGATGATATTAAACTAGTTTTATGTTTATTAACGTTAAGTGTTTGTTTAAGTATAGAGATGACAAGGAATGACGATATTAATTATTGAATAAAATTATCACTAAAGAGTTTATTAAATAAAATTTATAGGAAAACTATTGAGATATATTTTCATTGTATTTAAATTTTTTATTACATGGTTATGAATATTTAATGTTAATTAAGAAATCCCATTCCTAATCGAATTTCCAAGTTAAAGCAATAACATAGTTAAGTAACCAATTCCATTTACTTTCTTAAGAATCAATTAGATATTGATTATTGAATGCCAATTTTATTAGTTTGTTCATGTAATAAAAAATTAAGTAAATTATATTATTAAGTAGTAAGTACTTAAATTTAATCCTCAAAGAGTTAAACCATATAATCCCACTTATAAATTCAACAGAAAATTAAAAAAAAAAAAAATATCATTCTATTAAAAAATGGATATATTAGAGTATGGGGCCAAATGCATTGACAACAATGGTAGACTTCTGATGTATTGAATGGTAGATTTGATAGAATTAGGTTTGCAACAATATGAGCCAAAAATAGAATATAATATCAAATTTTTGTATCATCTACGTGATAGTTTATGTAAAGATGAAGCATATCATCACATGACACTAATTTATGATCATAATTTTAAATCTTAATCATATAATATGTAATATTGTCACATGGTTTACCTTATTTATCAATGTTTAATTATATATCATGCCTTCATTAGCTTTGAGAACATTAATGAATGTATGGTTCTTTGAATATATAGTTAATTACTGAAAAATAACCATATCGTTAGAAATTAGACAATTTCCAAATATGAATGTTTAATTAATACTCAATCTTTAGGGTGAATATTTTAAATTTTTTCTCATGTTCATTTCTATCACTATTAAGATGGACTTTACCTAGATTTAAGAATGAATCAATTCTTAAGTTTTGACTGAAAAGTTCTTTTACCTATTTTTTTTCACTAATCTATTATTAACAACTTCTTCCCAACTCCTGACACTGTAAATAAAAAAAAAAAAGTTTTTTAGCCTGCAATGGATATTGATTATGAGTGAATTGATGATTATTTTTTGAGCCTTTTTTTTTATCATCTAATATATACTGAGGTTAGGTAAATAGCATGCTCAAGTCTGTCAAAAATTTATGGATAAAATGAACAAAAAGTTGTATAGGCCCAATATCCCATTTTATTTAGTTTTTCAGTCTATAATAAATTTCGATTATGGGTGAGTTGAGGCTATTTTTTGACTTTTTTTATGGTCTAATCAATACTGAGATTAGATAAATAGCATACTCAAGGCTGTCAAAAATCTATAGATAAAACGAGTAAAAAGCTGTATAGGATATTTGATACTTATCTCAAACAAACAAATAAATAAAGAAATAGAGAAAATCAAATTATTTATAACTATTCATGATTTGTTAGCTATAATAATAGATCTATGAATTATGGTGAACAAACAGTAGGGTGGCATGTACATTGGTCAAAAAGTTTCATAATTATCTTATCCTAAATAAATTATTTACATGTACCTATTAACTATTCAGTATCCTAATGAAAAATTAATTAAACACATGAAAGCGTTGTCGTAGGGAAATTCATTTTGAATTTGATAAATATATTACTTGTGAAGTATATATATGTGTTCGTATATATATACGAACCTATAATCGCGACCAAACACTAATTTTTTAAATCTTTGATTTGTATATTAAAAAAGTCATGACACCCCAACTAAGAATTTTGCCGTTCAATTAATAACCACTTAAAACTTGTGTTTGAATGATAGCTACAATACTAATTAAGCTTCTAACTCGGTCTGCCACAGCCACTTCACCGGCTTCTTCAACAAGACAAACACTAGGCTTACAAAGAAGCTCAATCCAACTAAACAAGTGACAATGGCAAGCCCTAAAGAAGGAGATAATATTACATATGTGCCTGTAATAAAAGCAACCACCATTGCTTCCATGGCGAGCACAGTGGCCCGATGGGCGTACATATTCAAATGCCAATATCTAGATGTGTCCACTGATACAAAGAAGTGGACAAGGACAGCGAAACTGAGCACCATGGCTATTGCATCCGTTATAATAAATGCTTGAAAAGAAGAATTTTTCGCTAGGATTGCAGTTCCTTGGTCTTGGTTTTGGCCTTGCCCTTCTTCACTTTGGTAATTACCAGGCATTGTGAAAGCTGCTGCGAAGGTTACTGTTGCTATGAGTTTGACTACTACTAATTGAGACGGTTGTGCTTTCGCCACCTCACTGGGCATTTCATTTTGCTGTCTTCCTCTTCTACGAATAATAGCTCGTCGATAGGGTCCGGTTTCAACACATAATTGTCGGATTTCTTCCTGTGATACATATTGCTTTAGTATTATACAATATAAACAAGCAAATTGAAATAGCTAAACAAGAATTTGAATCTTGTACATATACTAGTCAGATCTTCAGTGTGGATGTTATGGAGTTTTAATGTGTGGATCAAAGGTGAGCAACAAGTTGCTACCTTCATGAAATGCAAAATGAAAAGCCAACAACCGGTCGCTCGCCTTTGGTCCGCAACTTAAAAAACTTCAGAATGTCTTATATGTATAGGAAGATTCTTAAGTGGGGACGTCAATAAAGATAAAAGGTAAGTGTTTGGTTACTGACTTTTGATTTTAAGGTTTGTAGAGTTAGCGACCAGATGCTCAACTATAACCCCCACATTAAAAATTTAAATACCTCCACATTAGAGATTAACTATAATAGAGTCTCATTGGTTGTATATGTGATCAATCTATTTGGGGAAAAAACCTTATTTAATTTGTGAATAAAAAAAAGTGTAGATATACGTTATCTGTGATGAGTCTATTGGAGAACTAAACATATATTTTGTTGGTGTGATGGCTTTATACGGTAATGTTTTATCAATTAAATGAAGCGCATCGTTTTGAGCCAAGTATGAGATCAATCCTGATCGTTGGCTGGCTAGAGATCCAACGGAGGAAACGAAGTCTAAAGGTCAACGGTATAGAAGCAGGCAAACAATCTGAATCAAACAGATTGAACCTTTTTGTATCTTTTCTTCTCTATCGAACAAGTCTGTATCTGCTATGGTTTGGGTTTGTTTGTGGTCTTGAATCTTGTAGCTGTAAGTTTGAGTGGTTGGTTTGCAGGCCATTTGAGGGTACTAGGGTTCACAGGGTATTTGGGATACTAGATCTGTGTCTCTAGGGTGTTACGGGTTTTGAAGAAGATCGGGAAATGGTTTAATCGTGTGTAGAAGTTTATACTGTAATCTTGATCAATATAGTGCAACGAGCTTGCTGGATTCTTGAGCTCAACGTGGACATAGCTTGTTTATACTAAGTAAGTGAATCACGGTAAATCTTGGTGCTCTATGTGTGTGTATTCTGTTGGATCTGTGTTGTGTGGTTTTCTGCTTTTTTTGGTTGATCTGGTGTGTGCGTTATAACAGTGTTATCAGAGCGTAGGAAAGAGGATCAAGAGAGAAGAATCAAAGTCTAATTTTTCGATCTGAAATTTTTAGGGTTTCTTTGATTGTCGAAAAATTGGGGGTTTCTCAATTTTAAGGTTTCAAATCAAAATTGGGGGTTTCTTAATTCTAGGGTTTCAAATCAAAATTGGGGGTTCATAGCGTAGGTTTCTAATCGAACGGGCTTAGATTTCATATAGAGTAGAAATCCAGGGTTTCTTTTCTCATTTTCTTGAAATTCAAGAACGAGTCTGAATTCTTGAATCTACAACCTCGTCAACCAAAAACCAAACACTCACCATGTCAAACACCTCCACCCGAATGGAAATCTCCCAATATGATGGGATGATTGACTTCGGGAGTTGGAAGAAAAAAATGAGAGCACTACTCTCCCATAATAAGGTGGCAATCGCACTGGAAGATGACATCAAGAAGTGGCCGGAGTAAAAACTGAAAAAGAAGGAGGAGATCAATGAAGGGGCTTACAACCTGATAGTCTTGAATCTGTCCGACAGTGTTCTTAGGAAGGTAGACGGGATTGAATCACCACTGGAATTATTGGGTAAACTTAACATTTTATATGCTTTATAGTTTGCCCTAATTTGGCTTTTCTGAAGGGTACTTTATTCTCGTATAAAATGGATAGTTCTAGGAGTATAGAGGAGAATCTAGACGAATTCTTAAAAATGACTTTGATCCTAAAAGGAACAGATCAAGAACTAGGAAATTCTAGTCTAGCAATGATCCTTTTGAACTCACTGCCAGAAGACTACCAAGTAGTCAAAAATGCATTACAGTACTCTGGTACTGTACCAAACCTAGATCTAATAGTAGTAGGGCTTAAGGCTAGAGAATTAGAACTGAAAGTCTAGAAAGAAATGGGTCAAACCTATTTGTCAAAAGCAGAGTAGAGTCCAATTAGACAGGGAAGAGTAATTCTATGCATCAGGGGAATAAGAATAAGAAAAAATGGAAGGGTAATAACAAGAATAAAGAAACTAGAAAATGTTTTTTCTGTAATAAGGCTGGTCACATTAAAAAGAATTGTTTTAATTGGATCAAGAAGCAAAAACAAGGGAACACATAAAGCAACCTAGCCACCACAAAAAACCTGTTAGATGAACTTGAGGTGCTTACAGTGTCAATGTCTGACACTGCTAATGAGTGGGTGCTGGACTTTGGGTGCTCTTTCCATATGAGTCCGAACAGAAACTAGTTCTAGGAGTTTGAAGTCACTGATTCAGAAACAGTTTACATGGGGAACAACAATGCATGTAGGGTTAGAGGAATATGCTCCATAACTCTAAACTTTGACACTGGTAAACTGGTTAAATTTACAAAAGTTAGGTACATCCCAGAACTTAACCCTAGGTACCTTAGATGAATCAGGCTGCATTTATAAGGCAGAGAATAGATGCATGAATATATATAGAAATAGAAACCTAATTCTGAAAGGAGAGAAAAAGAATGGGCTTTACATACTCTGTGGGAACGACTCCCCAAACTGTTTTAACTCAGTGCTTAAGTCTATTAACCTGTCCACTACAGAAAAGTGACATCTTAGATTAGGTCACATGAGTCAAAGAGGAATGGATATCCTGAATTATCAAGGTCAGTTTGGAAAAGATAGTGTCTCTTCACTAGAGTTTTGTGAAAACTGCATATTAGGAATACAACACAAAAACAGTTTTTAAAAGGGAATACACCTAGCCACTAGCCAATTTGAATACATTCATTCTGACCTGTGGGGACCTGGGAGAGTTAAAACCTATGGGGGAAATAATTACTTTATGTCTCTGGTAGATGATTACAGCCGAAAGGTTTGGGTTTACCTTTTAAAGACTAAGGATCAAGCCTTAGAAAAGTTTAGGGAATGAAAACTCCTAGTGGAAAACCAGATGATAAGAAGGTTAAAGTCCTCAAAACTGACAATGGGTTAGAGTTCTGCAACCAAGAGTTCGATAAATTATGTAGTGATCAAGGGATTTTGAGGCATAGGACTATGAAATACACTCCTCAACAGAATGGGGTGGCTAAGAGAATGAACAGAACCCTCTTGGATAAAGTTAGGTGCCTGCTTATCACCTCTAAACTTCCCACCTCTTTTTGGGGAGAAACCCTAACTACCCCAGCCTACGTAATAAATAGGAGCCCCTCTACTGCCATTAACCTAAAGTGCCTAGAAGAGATGTGGACAGGAAGAAGACTTGACCTAAGACACTTAAGAGTATTTGGCTGTGCTGCATATGCACACTTTGCTGGAGGAAAGCTTGAACCAAGATCAACTAAATGTGTCTTCTTAGGATACCAAGAAGGAGCAAAAGGGTACAGGCTTTGGGACAGGGAGTCACCTGGGTTAAAATTGTAGTGAGCAGAGATGTGATATTTAATGAGGGTGTTTTTCCTTGTAAAGATACTAACCCTGATGTAGGTTCTACTTCAAGCTCAAGGGAGAGTTCTAGTCAGCCTGGGGCTACACCAATTGAGGTGGAGCTTCCTGTCCAACCCCAAACCCTGCAAGAAACTGAAACCATCTAGGAAACTGAAACTGTTCCTGAACCTGGAGGAGAAACTGGACATCTTGATCAAAAACAAAAGGATGAGACAGAAATAGCTAAAGACACTGAAACTCAGCCTGAAAACTTGCAAGACTACTAACTTGCAAGAGATAGGGCCAAGAGACAGGTAAGAATTCCCACAAGGTTTTCATATGCTGATCTCATTTACACTGCCCTTCTTGCAGGTACAGAAGTGCTAAGAATCAAACCTGAAATGTATGATGAAGCAGTAAACTAAAAGGAAATGGATAAATGGAGGACTGCCATGGAAGCTGAGATGAAGTTTTTGGAGGTAAACAAAACCTGGGTTCTAGTACCAAAGCCAAAAGAACAAAAGGTAATCCAATGCAAATGGTTGTTCAAACTGAAGGACGTTATAACTGCTAAAGAACCCCTCATGTATAAGGCCAGATTAGTAGCCAAATGCTTTACCCAAAGGGAGGGAATAGACTTTAATGAAGTCTTTTCCCCGGTAGTCAAGTATAAAACAATTAGGTTAATGCTGTCCATAGTAGCCCACCTTGATTTAGAACTTGAACAGTTAGATGTAACCAATGCTTTCCTTCATGGAGATCTCAAGGAAGAGATCTACATGAGTCAGCCTATAGGGTTCATAGATCCGAAGACCCCTAACCATGTCTGCCTACTGCTTTAGTCATTGTACGGCCTAAAACAATCCTCTAGGCAGTGGTATAAAAGGTTTGACACATTCATTGTGAGTATAGGTTGCACTAGGAGTAAATACGATAATTGCTTCTACTTTGCTCTAAATGGTAACCTGTCTGTTTACTTACTGTTGTGTATGGATGACATGTTAATAATTAGCAAGTCTAAGTCTCTAATATGTGAATTGAAGAAAAAACTTAATACTGAGTTTGAAATGAAAGATTTGGGGGATGAAAAGAAGATTCTAGGCATGCAAATTGACAGAAATAGAAATAAATGTGAGCTGAGAGTCCACCAGTGTTCATACTTGCACAAATTAGTGGAAAAATTTGGGATGGCAGGGGCAAAACCTGTTACTATGCCACTGGCCAGTCACTTCACATTGAGCAAAACACAATGCCCTAGAACTGAAGCTGAACTGATTATGATGGAACACATACCATATGCAAATGTGATAGGATCCCTAGCACTAGGCCTGACTTAGCTTTTGTAATATCCTTACTCAGTAGGTATATGTCTAACCCTGGTATGGAACATTGGACTGCCCTAAAGTGGGTTCTTAAATATGTAAATGCCACATTGAATGTTGGACTGAATTACTGTAAAAGGACCCCTTCACTTGAGTTGGTTGGTTTTGTAGACTCGGATTTTGTAGGTGATAGGGACTCCAAAAAATCAACTACAATATACTACTTCACCCTAGGTGGAAACTACATCAGCTGGAAATCCCAGTTACAGCCGATAGTTGCATTATCCACGATTGAAGTTGAATACGTGGTTATAGCTGATATTTTTAAGGAGGCAATCTGGCTTAAAGGAATTCTCAGTGAAGCAGAATTGACCAATAAGAGGCTTGTAATTTTTTCTGATAGTCAGAGCGCAATTCACTTGAGTAAGAATCCAGTATACCATGAACGAACCAAACACATAGATGTCCACTACCATTTTGTCAGAGACCTGATCTCAAGGGAGGAGATAATACTATTAAAGGTACCGACTGAAGATAATCCGGCAGACATGGGCATAAAGACTATCACTCCTGCCAAGTACTTGTTATTCATACAGTAGGCAAGAGTGATCAGAGCAATGAAGGATCCAAGAAAGAGTGAGCTGCACTACAGTCACAAATAAATCCATCAAGGTGGAGATTGTTGGTGTGATGGCTTTATACGGTGACGTTTCATCAATTAAATGGAGCGATGTCGTTTTGAGCCAAGTGTGAGATCAATCCTGATCATTGGCTAGCTGGGGATCCAATAGAGGAAACGAAGTCTGAAGGTCAACGGTATATAAGCAGGCAAACAGCCTGAATAAAACAGATTGAACCTTTTTGTATATTTTCTTCTCTGTCGAACAAGTCTGTATCTGCTAGGGTTTGGGTTTGTTTGTGGTCTTGAATCTTGTAACTGTAAGTTTGAGTGGCTGGTTTGCAGGCCATTTGAGGGTACTAGGGTTCACTGGGTATTTGGGATACTAGATCTGTGTCTCTAGGGTGTTACGAGTTCTGAAGAAGATCGGGAAAGGGTTCAATCGTGGGTAAAAGTTTGTACTGTACTCTTGATCAATATAGTGCAGCGAGCTCGCTGGATTCCCGAGGTCAACATGGACGTAGCTTGCTCATACTGAGCAAGTGAACTATGGTAAATCTTGGTGCTCTGTGTGTGTGTATTCTGTTGGATCTGTGTTGTGTGGTTTTCTGTTTGTTTTGGTTGATTTGGTGTGTGCCTTATAACATATTTAAATCTGCATTACTTAAAGTGATAGGACTTAGTTCTTTCTATAACAATAATTAAGTTGAAAGAGTATTTATTATTACCTTCAGCTGGGGAGAACCATAAAATAATACATCTTCGACATTATTAATATGCTTGTTATAGGCAGAACGGAACCCTCCAACTTCTTCTATGACTTGAAAGAACGAGTCAGGACGTCGGGCAGCTAGCACATGGAGAGGAGGGTTTCCTTTGCCATTTGTCTCCTGTATCAGATTGCTTATAATATTCTTGAAAGACCTATTTCTTAGAAAATTATTCAATGATTTAACGGTTACACTAGTCATGGAAGTGAAGAAAATTCCATCCCATTTCGTCGACCAATTCACAGCAATCAGGACATTGGAAAATAATTGCTTCCATTATGTTTGCATGCCCTTGGCCGGCTGCTAGATGAAGAGCTGTCATCTTTCTATCTTTATCAACAATGTATGCTGCAGATTCATCGGATTTCAAAAGCCATTCCGCAGCATGAAAACAACCATAATATGCAGCGTAATGAAGTGGAGTCCACCCATTTTGGTCTTTTTCTTTTGTTAAACTATTCTTTTTCTCAAGTATTTTTCTCGTTGTCCCTAAAATAAAATAAAACAAAAAAAAAACATATATAAAAAATAAAATAAATATATAAGAAAGCACTCTAAATTGGATTGTAAATAATTTCTTGTACTTTTTATGGCACAAGTTTACCTGACATTCCGGTGTACATATAGCCCACCAACTATGTATTACTTGTATGTCGCATGCACTAATGTAGTATATTTTCATTGACAAGTTATACATGCAATAAATCATTATAAAAACACGAGATGAACCTATACATATTCTTCCTTGGAATTCCTTTATTTCTCTTTTTAGATCATAACGTAATTCTCATTGCTTTCCTCCCTTTTTCAACTAATTGTTCTTATGCAAGGGCAAAGTGTTCAAACAAAAGGTGATTTCATAGAACCCTCATATTAGGATCAATCTGAGAATTTTTAAGTTCTCCATTCATGCCAGTTCAATAATACTACACCCACAAACCACTTGAATCGAGGGAAGTGGTTTGTGGGTGTAGTATTATTGAATTAACAAACTTATCTTCTAATAACTGACTTAACAACCTAGCATCAACAGAACAAAACTAACATCCTGCTCAATGGTGGAGCTTTTAGAGAGGGCTAGCCCGGGCCAGCTTTGCACAAAATTTTTTATAAATTTTTAAGTAATCTATTTATGTTTTAAATTTGATATCTCTTTAGAGAAAGGACATCCAACTCTAATGATTCATCATATTTGTTTGTCCATTTTGAACCCAAATTTCAATTAATTTAAATATATATTTGTATAACAAATGCAATTTAAGGAATAAGGTTCAAGATGTCGCTATGACTAGATGCATATATTTTTTTAGTTAAAAAATTCTCTCACATTGTGACGATTTGCTTAAAAAAAGGTGTTAATCAAGAAGTTTTTATGTCACTGAAAAAAAACAAAAAAACAGAAAATAAGCCCGGGTAAAGAAACTTATTGGCTAAGCTCCTGATCGTTCGTTCATACTTCTTCTTCTTCTTCTCTCAAATACATACCCTATACGAAGAATCACGAGGAAGAAGCTCAAGCCGATTAAACAAGTGGCAATGGCAAACCCCAAAGAAGGTGATAACACTGCATATGTGCCTGAAGAAAAAGCAACCACCATTGCCACTATGGCTGACGAGATGAGAAAACGAGTATGTGCACGATAAAACCAAAATCTGGACAAGTTCCATGATGCAAAGAAGTGGAGAAAGACAGCGGCGAGGGAGAGGACGAAGGCTGTAGCATCTGTTATAACAAAAGCTTGAAAAGCTGCTTTTCTACTTAGGAATGCCGTGCCCTGACGAGGGCCTTTTTCACTTTGGTAGCCACCGGGCATTGTTAAAGCTGCTGTGAAAGTTACTGTTGCTATGAGTGTAACAACCACCAATTCAGAATCTTTTGTTTTCTCATATCTGGGGAGTCTATGAAATATCCAGAATGGACTTTTACTAATAATACCTCGTCGATATGGTCCAGTACCATCAGAATTTGACAATTCTTGGATCTCTTCCTGTGATACACATTGAATATTACTCAAAGCAATATAAGAAAAGTAAATCAAATTAAGATATTGTAGAAAATTTTAATGTAAAAGTAGTAATGAAATATTAATTATAAATACAAAAACACCATTTTACTAACATGCAATGCCTGATTAGTTGATGTTACATACTTTGTGTTTTAAGGTCATGATGTTTGTGATTGAAATGGAATGGGAATTGTGCATTGGGAATGGAAATCGAAGAACGGAAATGTTACCAAGTAATGGAATCCCATTCCATTGTTTGCGTGTAATATGGAGTGTTGATGGAATAAAATAAAATTTGTAGTTTTTGGACAAAAGTACCCCCAATTTATCTTATTTAATAGATACAAAATTTTATTTTTTATTTAAATAAACAATTTTCAAAGTTTGAAAAAAAAAAAATTAAAAATCTAAAAAGATTCGAAAATTGAAAAAATTTAAGTTGGTTAATGCAATCAAAGTGGTCAATCAGCTACCTTCTGTCGTGCTTCCAACGTCACAGCCAATGCATAGACTCTTAAAGGTTGATGATCTACCAATCTGGGCGAATCTCGACCATCAAAGACCAGCGAGTGACATCACACGGAGTGGCCATGACCAAGGACCACAGCGTGATGTCACTAAGGCAATCTTTTAGATTTAAAAAATAAAAAAATAAAAAATAAAAAAATAAATAAATTCTTTTTAAAATTTCAAATATTTAATCTTTAATATTTTAATAAAATAATTATATTTTAAGTTAATTTCTTTGGGGGTAAAATGAGAAATTAGAATTTAAAAAGAAGTAAATTGGATATTTTAACATTCAATTACCAATAATGAATGACATTCCTCCCAATTTGAGAGGAATGCTGTGCCACCGTTTTTCAAAGAATGGGAATATAATTCCTTATGCCACTTCTATGAACCAACCCAGGGATAAGAAATAAAGTTTTTATTCTATAGTACATTCACCCTAACTAAACATGACCGAATGTCTCACTCGAAAACTTTTTCCAGCCAATACCATAAATGCTTATTGTTCATACTTCAACTTTTTTTTTTTTATATTTAAAACGGGACAAAAATTAATTAAGATATATATGATAATGCTTGTTATACATGCTTAAATTAAACATAGCAGCTATTGGCAACTACAAACAAATCAAATCCAATAGATCTAAAAATTCAAAGGGACAAAAACAATGAACAATTACCTATAAACTATTTTCAGATTATACTTCTTCAATTATTAATATATGATTTAGTTAGAGTTCAAAAAATATATGACATACTTGGAAAATGTTAAAGGACTGCTGATTGAAGATAAGATTTAGGTCTGATGAAAAGAGGAGTGAATGAGATGTACACAATATGGGTAAAATTGTTCAAAATTAGGGTGAAAGTTCTTAGTTACAAATGCATTTTTTAATTTGATTCCTGAAAAAGGGGTCTAAAGAGAGTTACAGAAAAAGGGAATGTTGTGAGTGAATGTTGAAACGGCGTCGTATTGAATTTAATGGAACGGTGTCGTTTGTGAGACAGCTCCTGAATGATCCTGACCGCTAATTCAGAAGGAAAGCCAACGGCTGAGATCAATCCTCCAGTCAACGCTATAAAAGGTTTAGGGTTCCTGTTATAACAGTAGATCGAACAAAAATTGAGAGCAGGTTTTCGTTTTTCTTTAGAAAACTAGGGTTCTTACTTTGGGTATGATTTTTCTGTGTAATCTGTGGGTTTCTTGAGTGGTTTGGGTTAATCAATCAAGGGAAAGAACTGTTGTGTTCATGTTATAGGGATTTCCAGGATAGAGGAGTCCTAGGGCAGATTACGGGTTCAGAAAGTGGTGTTCGATCTGGGTTTTCTTGGAGAGTCTTTCTTTTGTAATTGTGACTGTAATCGAGTGTTCTTTAATCATAGTGCAGCGAACTCTCTTTCCAGAGTTCAACGTGGATGTAGCTTGCTCAAATCGGGCAAGTGAACCACGGTAAAGATCTTGTGTTGTTGCTTGTGTTTTCTGGGTTTATTGTTTGTTTCAGTTCTCTTTATAGGTTGATTGCATAACAGAAAAAAAAAAAACGTTTTGCGTCTAAACCACAATATAGACGCGCTATGAATCTGCAACCAGCCTACTGCAACTAAGGGGGTGACAACCGAATTTAGACGCTAAAAGTGGCTTAGCATCTAAATGTGACTTTCTGCGTCTAATTTTGCTAGATGCAGAATGCCAGTTTTCTTGTAGTGCCTCTTGGATTTTTGGTAGGTCCAAAACTTTAATTTCAACTTGAATTATCTTTCTGGAGCCAAAATCAAACACGTCAATGCCATAATTAATGGACAACGTTATTTCACGTCTTCAGATCTTAACTTCTTTTAGCCAATTGAAAACATGTTTATACTGCCACAATTGTCTCAATAGCTGATTGTTTGATTAAAAGAATTAAGTTTCCTGTAAACTTGTTTTGTATTTCAGGACATTCCAATTAGACAATGTAGGGTCCGTTTGTTTAACTTTGTTAACGTACATTATCATTTTCCACCATCCTACTTTCAAAAATAAAAAATGTTGTTATTTTGAGGATGTTTAAAATTCAATCATGTTCTATTTAATTTAAAATATTAATAATTATTTTTCTCAATAAAAATTTATAAATTAATAAAAACACTCCCACTCAAGGGCAGATCCAACCCCTTGAACTTACCCTTAGATTTAAAAAAAAATTATTAATATATAAATCAATAAAAAATTGCTATTAATATACATGTCCAGGCCCACCCTCAAATTTAAAAAAAATGAAAACTATTATACATATATCTAGGTTCATAAAAAACTTGCTATTAATATATATATTTCAAGCCCATATCATATTAAAAGTTTAAACCTCTCTTCACTCTTTTTCTCCACAGCTCAACCTATTTTTTATGATTTTATCTCCAAAAATTTTTACTCTCTCATTCTATATTTCTCTTTCTCATACTATTCGCTCTTAAAACTTTTGAAAACTGAAATTATTGAATCTTTCACTATTCAAGGTGCCACAATTAGCTCCGTTTTATGTTTTATCAGTTTTAAGTATGTGTATTACTCATTTCAATTTAGTTCATTATAGGGTTGAATCATGCTTTTTTTTTTTTAGGTTTTTTATTCTAATTTGGGGGAAAAATACATGAATCTTGTGAGTTTCTTTTGTGTTTTGTGTCTAAAAATGAACATGCTTTCCCAAATTAAAACCTTAACTATATTTTAAAGGACGTTATTCTTCACCCACCACTTTCCTATATTTCAAACGTCACTATTCAACTGTTCAAAATTATTAAAGAAATTTGAGTTACTATTTATGTTTATACCAAGAAAATTCCCTTTTTTTTTTATTAATTCATAATAAAAGTCAATGCAATGTTGACTTGATTTAAGTTTTAGTTGACTTTAGCTTAGACTAAATCTGATTAAAGTCATGAAAATTTCAATTATAATCTTTGGAAGCCAAAAATTAAAAGAATGTTTTGCTAAAGGTTTACTCAACACATTTACTCAAAATTTTGCTTCTCGTAGATTTATTCAAGTAGGAAAATGTAGTGTTCTTACATTCTTTTTATCTCATGTTCTTGATATTGTATTATTTTATTTG